GTTTTCTCTTGGTCCCCCGGGTCCATCTATATTTGGTTGTACCCGAAATAGGCATCGGGAAAGCTCAGCATCTCGTGCCCTGCCATTGCATCGATCATTCGTTCGATGTTAGGCAAAGGAAATGAGTCCTTTGGATATTCCTTATTCAAATCCTTATAATATGCATACATTCTAAGTTTGTTTCCCTTTTTAGGTACGTTGACTATGCTAGCTAGCCAATCCGGTATTTAACTTTCCAAATGAAACCTGTTTTTAAAAGTTTAGATACCTCATCTTAGATGAATGCGTTCTTTACTTGGTGGGTGCCAAACTATTTACCTTTTAAAACGGATAACAATTAAATTTGTATGCAATTTAAAGGACACGTGGTTTAGTTTAACACAAATGATCAGAAAGCAGTAAGTAATTGAATTGAAATGAGACAAAATGATCAAACCAAATGTGGTGAAGTTATTAAGCCTTGCGTTAGGCCTAAATGCTAACAAATGGTTTGGGTCGAGCCCTCGAAATAGAGCTTGGTTCCAACTAAATGGATGAATAGTTGAAAAACACTTAAACAATCGCTAAAAGCCAGAATAAACTTTATTGTTTTGATATGCGTGCCAACAGTGGTAAACAAATGAAAGGGTTCTCCTTTTTATATAGTAGAGGAGTTTTAACCCTAATACAAGTCTAAATAAGGTAAAAATCTTTTCTTCCCCTTTTTCCATAAAAATATGATCCGTAGCCAGAATCGTGCGTGATTCGTGCCACAATATCCGACTGATGGCGGATATTTATGCTCCCCATTTTGTCTCCTCTATCCGTCTTTCCTTAACCCTCGATCTTTCATCTTACTCGAGCTTGATTCTTTTCGGGTTCGGCTATGCCCGAGACCCGTCGTATTGTTCGTCCCTGATTTCGATCTATGAGTACCTTCGGTTTCACTCAAGCCGGTAACAAGTAGCATTGTTCCTCGTTTCACAACAGAAAATCGGGGTATTGTAATGAGTATCATAATAATAAGCCTCAAAAACACTTTCTAATTTCTAAAAGTATCACTGGAGAACGGGATAAAGGAAATGAGAATAGTTCATTTTCTATATAGAGGACAGTCTTGGTCAAATGTGGCATTAATTTGATTATACATTCAACTATGTGTATGTGCAAAACTTTTCCAAGAATAAACAATTACCATTAATATTGTGGGCACAATAGCTGTCAAACGCAAAAGAAATTTGCATGTACATAATTATATCCCACGGACAATTGGTGGAACAGTTTCTGAAATTGGTCCCAGATCTTGGTATAACTGGAAAATAAATTGTATATAGCTTATATATATGGAGTACCGTCATCAATTTTCTATCTCTTCCAATGAACTTATATATAATATAGGAGTCTATTACGAAGGTCACTATTGAAAAATAATTAGTAAAATTATGTTTCTTTTATTTGTAACAAGAAAGTTACTAATCTTTATTTATAGCACTTCAAAAGTTACTTTATTGGATTTTGTGTGAAACTTCTGGCCAATAAATCTAATGGGTTTTTCTTATTCAGATTTATTGGCGGAAGTTGCACACAAATCCGGTGGAGTGACTTTTTGAATTGATATGGATAAAAATAAGTGACTTTCTTATTACAAGTAAAAGAAATGATGACTTTACTAACTATTTTCAAAAGTTGTGATATTCTGAATAATGCACTCTATAATATAGCTACTCTGTTGAAGACACTTTACACTCTTGAAATCAATGAGGTACACTACATTATTGCAAAGGTTATTGTTTGATTATTTTGGACCCTAATAAAGCTCCTAAGATACTGTGAGCTGTAACTCTAAGGCATAGTTCTTATAAATTTCATAACAACAAGAAAAAGTCCGAGTATATGCGGAATTGATTACCTATAAAATTTGTAGTGGATCCCTGGTTTCTATGTTTTGATAATTAGATAAGGTTTATTTTGGAAAACCTACTATGACTTGATTCAAACTCAAGGCATTTCCCATATTGACTTCTGTTTCCACTAAATCCCATAGAAAGAAAAAGTTAAAATTCAAGTTAGTTTAATTGTATTAAACTAATAGTGTAATAACTCTATGACTGCATAGAAGTTGCTAATGTTTTGTCCCATTGATAATCTTTTTCTAGTTGTATGGAAGATGGGACATATATTCAATGACACGAAACCAAGTTGTCACTCTGCCAAGACGGGGGGCAAAATAAATAATTACATTGTAATGTACTATTATCTTTTTTGGAGTTTTTCCTTTGGAAGAATGGTGGCAGTGGTTATTTTATTAATTTTTCTCTTGGAACAATTATATGGTGTTTTTCGAAGAAGCAGATTTCAAACTTGTCCTTGTCTTTGAATATGTCCAACGATTTTATTTGAATAAAGGTATGAGCCTCACCTTACTTATTGTCTCTATTGGGGGATATGGCAAAGGAGAATTTTATTTAGTAGCCTGCGGCGAGAATTATTTATATTTGATAATAAAAAATTTATATATTTTTTGTATATAATATATAAAAATATTTTATATATAAAAAATACACACAAAAAGTATATATATATATATATATATATATATATATTTTTTTTTTTTCGGTTATTATTTTAAGAACAATTATACAATATTATTTTTCCAATATGTATACGGCATATGTTCTCACTACATTTGTCAAAGGTACTTTTTTACCCCGAACGCAATTTCCACTGATTTGGTAGTCTAAAAACTTGAAATTGGTAAACCTATTCCAATTAACAATGAGCGTATTAGTTGATAATCCTGACCATAAAACATTTGTTTCTTGATCCATCTCAGATTTAAATATACAAGTAACAACGAACTAAAATTAATTTATCAAGCAGGGATTAAATAAATTCTTTAGCATTATTAACTATATTTAGGTTGTGTTTGGTATGATGGAAAATATTTTCCGAAAAATATTTTTTTATTTTTCACTGTTTGGTTGCATAAAATAGTTTGAAAAATATTTTTCTAGATACCACATTTTCCTGAAATTGGAGGAAAATGATTTCCTTAGAAAAAGTTAGGAAAACATTTTTCAAAAACTCCACCTACGCTCACATCTAACCTCAACCCCCTCCAACTTTAATTTTTTATTTTTTTGGTTTTTCTGCACCATCCAAGGCTATAAAAATATTAATACTAGTAAATAGTCCAATTTATGATTATGAGGATTCTTATTATTATTTTTTACTTTTTTTTATTTTCAATTTTCTGTTTTTTCATTTACCTTTTTTTTTTTGTATTTTATGTTTTCTGTTTTTTCGTTTTTCTGCGCCACCCACCCCAATTCCCCCCACCCCCTCCACCCCTGCGACAATTTTATATATATATATATATATATATATATATTATATATATATATATATAATATATTATATATATATATAATATATTATATATATATAATATTTTCACGTTCTTGTTTTTTTCATTTTTCAATTTACAAGTTCAAAATTTTACGAGTTTCAAAGTTATGAGTTCGGAGGTTTATGTGTTTAAAATTTGCGGGTTTAGAAATTATAGATTTTACAGGTTCAAAAGTTTAGCGGTTCAGAAGTTTATGAAATTTATGGGCTCGGAAGGTTGTTAGTTCGAAAGTTTATGGCTTCATGTTTATTGTATCTGAATTATTTTGGAAAGAGAAGTTATTTTCCTTAATTTGCGTACCAAACATCGAAAATGAGTAAAATTACTATTTGTTTTTCAAATAAATATTTTCCACGAAAAACATTTTCTGTTATACCAAACACACCATTAGTCTTTGAGTAATGATCACATGTTAGAAAAGATGACAGATGAGTTTGAGAAGTGCAAACCAATCAAATAATTTAAAAGCATAAAAGGAAAGAAGCTAACATGATAGGGAAAAACTATTAGTTAACTATGTTGAGTATAGTGGGGCCCAACTATTTATTAGTTAAGGGTAATTAGTTGTAACTACATATAGTTAGTTAGTTAGTGGTATATTTGTATAAATACAGTAGTTAGTTAGTGATACTGTACAGCTATTCATTCTTCTTCTCTGTCAACTAATAACAGAGCTTTCCTTCATTTTCTCTTCTTCTAGAACCTTCAATTATGCCATGGTTGTAGCTCCTTAACATGGTATCAGAGCTTGGTGCTTGATTTCCTTAAGCTCAGCCATGAGAAAACTTGAATCATTCAGCTGTATCGAAGCAACCTTTCATCCATTTGATCGAGCCATTTTTTCAACACATAAATCTCTCTGCTCGACCTAGGGTTAGGAATTTTTTGATTTTCTGATTGAATCGCGGTCAAATTGTATCTAAGTTTGTGTCAATTTGATAAAATTGTAAGAATTTCTAGTGAAGTGTTTGTTGCTGTGACAATGTCGATCAATGAAGATGTAGTTGGCTCACCTGTTGCTGCTTCAATGTTTACAAAACTCATCGATCACAACCATCCTCTCTACATAAATCCATCCGATAATCAAGGTTCTGTTCTAATTTCTATTCAGCTTCAAGGTTCAGAAAACTATTCTATTTGGAGTAGATCTATGAAAATTGTATTGCATGGTAAAAACAAGCTAGGGTTTGTTCTAGTTACCTGTAGGAAAAACATATATGATACTAGTTTACATGAATTGGGATAGATGCAATGCTATTGTACTTGCTTGGATTATGAACACAATTTCACCAAATTTAATTAGTTCAGTGATATATGCTTCCGATGCGTACACAGTGAGGGAGGATCTTAAGGAAAGATTTGATAAGGATAGTGCATCTAGGGCTTGCTATTTGCACAAGGAAATTGCCACATTAACTCAAGGCATATCCTCTGTGTCTGTTTATTACACTAAACTGAGAAAATTGTGGGATGAGTATGAAACTTTAACTCCTCCACCAACTGTGGTTGTGCTGAATCAAGGAAACATGTAGAGCACTATCAGATACAGAAATTGTATCAGTTCCTCACATGGCTAAATGAATCCTATGAGAATGCAAAGAATCAGGTCCTCATGACTCGACCCTTGCCTAATCTGAACCAAGCTTATGCTATGATAGTTAATGTGGAGAGTGAAAGAGTTAATGGAAAAGTTGTATTTGCTGAAGGTAATGAAACTGCTATGAGGAGTAATAAGGTGTATACTGGAGGTTATAATAGTGGAGGACAGACTAACAATAATCCTAATGGAGGTTATACAGGTGGATATAATGGTGGAGGACAAACTAACACTAATTTCAGTGGAGGCTATAGACCTAGAAACTCATTTAGTAAAGGTGTTGTTTGGTGTGACTACTGTAAATATAAGGGTCACACTAGAGAAAACTGTTTTAAGCTTCATGGTTATCCATCTGACTTCAAAAATAAGAGAAAAGGAGGGGCACAAAATGCCCAGGCTAACAGTGTGACAAGTTCTGGTGTTCCAACTTCAGAGATACAGGGTCAAGGACATCAGACACCAACCTCTCCAGCTTACTTATTTACTCAGGAACAGTACCAGCAGATTCTGCATTTGCTGAACAAGGGTAAGGAAGCTAAACCTATTGCCAATGCTGTCACTACAGGAACAACATGTAGTATACATGCATGTATGACAAGCTTGATGCATAGGAACTGGATTATAGACACAGGAGTAACAAACCATATGGTTCATAGTTTGCACTTACTAGAGAAGTATGATGAAATACTAGAAAATACTAGGAGTAAAGTTCATTTACCAACAAGAGAAAAGGTGTATATTAATCATACTGGTATTTTTTCTTTCTTCAAAAATAAAAGGGTTTAGAGCATTCTTCACATTCCAGAGTTTAAATATAATCTCCTCTCAGTGTCCAAACTCACAAAGGAGTTACAGTGCTTTGCAGCATTTTACCCTAATTTATGTATCTTTCAGGAACTCTCAAGTGGGAAGGTGTTGGGGATTGGTAAGGAAGAGTTGGGTCTGTACATTCTCAAGGCAGAAGACAGAACAATACTCAATCACCAAGGCACTCATTCCAATTCAATTGTACATACCATTCCAGGTGACACCAATAAATGTAGTAATCTAGCAAATAATAAGACTTGTGTTGTATCTTCTTTGTGGCATCAAAGATTAGGACATGCTCCTTTAAAGGTTTTGAGATCGGTAGATGCTTTGCATAATATGCAGCTGAAGGAACATCATTGTACCGTGTGTCCTATAGCTAAGCAATCAAGACTACCTTTCCCTACTAGTTCTTCTTGCTCTAAGTATATCTTTGATATTGTACAGGGTGATGTTTGGGGACCCTATAGGGTGCCAACACATGATGGCAAGAGATATTTTTTGACCTTGGTAGATGATTACTCTAGATACACCTGGCTATTTTTACTGCATTCTAAGTCAGATACAGTTGAGGTGATCAAAAGCTTTATAGCAATGGTTTCAACACAGTTTGATCACAGACTCAAATGTCTAAGAACAGACAATTGCACAAAGTTCTTTAATGACCAAATGCAGATCTTGTTAAAGACTCAAGGTATAGTACATCAAAGTTCTTTCACATATACCCCTCAACAGAATGGGGTCGTTGAGAGAAAGCACAGGTCTATCCTAGACATGGCTAGAGCACTCAGGTTTCAAGCTTTCTTACCCCTCAAATTTTAGGGAGAATGTGTCTCTACAGCAGTCTATCTTCTCAATCGTTTGCCTACTGTACTGCTACAAGGCAAATCTCCTTTTGAGAACTTGTTTCAAAAAAGTCCTTCGTTACAACATTTGAAAGTGTTTGGCAGCCTTTGTTATGCCACTACCATGAAGAAAGGGGATAATTTTTCCCCAAAGCAATTCCAGCTATTCCATGGGGTATTACTCATCTCAGAAGGGCTATATTCTCTATGATCTGTGTTAAAAAAGGTTCTTTGTTAGCAGGGAGTGTTCAAAGAAGAAGTATTCCCTTTTAAACATATGTCGTTCGGTGCCTCTCCCTTATTTCCTGTCTTAGAGTTGTAGAACAACCTACACAACCAAGTGTTGGCCTTGATGATTCTTCTTCTGCTGATGCTGAGTTTCCTGCAGCCTCATCTAGCCATCACTCTACTGATGAAGTTGAAACTTCTTCTTCCTCTATCTCAGCTCCTCTAGATCTTGGTCAGCCTACTCTATCCTCACCAAGTTCTCCTCATATCTCAGTTGGTGAACCATCTGTTCCTTCCATAGAACTCAGAAAGTCATCAAGGACCACCAAACCACCTGTGTGGCTAGCTGATTATGTGGTTCCACCATCTAAGTTTGCATATCCTATATCAAACTATGTGGCTTATGATCAGCTGTCCTCTGCCTATTGAGCTTCTCTTACTGAATTCTCAGCTATTGTGGAACCCAAATCCTTCTCAGAAGCCAGTAGGGATCCCAAGTGGGTTGAGGCTATGCAAGCTGAAATCATAGCTCTTGAAGAAAATAGCACTTGCTCTATTGTTCTTCTCCCTCCTAGCAAGGTTCCTATAAGTTGTGAGTGGGTGTTTCAAGTCAAATACAAGTCATCTGGTGAAGTGGAGAGGTATAAGGCCAGGTTGGTGGCCAAAGGTTACAGTCAACAAGAAGGATAAGACTACACATAAACTTTCTCTCCTGTAGCTAAAATGGTTACTGTGAGAGCTGTGGTTGCATTAGCTGTTGCTTCAGGATGGTATGTGTTCCAAATGGATGTTCACAATGCTTTCCTTCAAGGAGATCTTCTTGAAGAGGTATATATGCATGTTCCTGATGGCTTTTCAAGCCAGGGGGAGTGTCAGCATGTGTGCAGATTGCATAAGTCACTCTATGGATTAAAACATGCACCTAGGCAGTGGAACCTGAAACTAACTAAAGCTCTTATAGATATGGGATTTGCTCAAAGTCACTATGACTACTCTTTGTTACTCAGAAGATGAATTCAGATTAGTAGTCATTCTTGTCTATGTAGATGACCTTCTAGTGACTGGGAGTAGTCTAAGACTGATCCAACAAGTCAGAAAGGATTTATAGGAGGGGTTCAAGATGAAAGATCTTGGTGAACTGAAATACTCTCTAATGATTGAGTTCTCTAGATCTCAAGAAGGAATTGTTATGTACCAAAGGAAGTATGCTCTAGAACTAGTATCCGAACTAGGCCTAGCAGGTTCAAAGCCAGCAGCAACTCCTTTGGAGTTCAATCACAAGCTCACAACCATTGAGTTTAACAAGCAAATACCAGATACTGGATCTACAATTGATAGAGAACTTGAAGACAAGGGAGGCTATCAGAGACTAGTTGGAAGGTTGTTGTACTTAACCATGACAAGGCCTGACATTTCCTTTGTGGTTCAAGTGCTAAGTCAGTATATGCATGCACCTAAGGTTTCTCACATGGGAGCTGCTCAATGAGTGGTGAGGTACATAAAAACTGCCTCTGGACTTGGACTGTTCATGCCTACAAAAGCAAGCAAATCACTGTATGCATACTGTGATTCTGATTGGGGGGGCCTGTGTAAAATCAAGGAGATCAGTGACAGGCTATGTAGTGAAATTTGGTGAAGCACTGATATCATGGAAAAAAAACAGGGAACTGTGTCCAGGAGCTCTGCTGAAGATGAATTTCGAAGTATGGCCTCTATTGTAGCAGAAGTGGTGTGGATAACAGGACTCTTTAAGGAGCTGGGAACTGAATTGGTTCAGCCTATGCAGTTGCATTGTGACAGTAAGGCTGCTATACAAATTGCAGCTCACCCTATTTTTCATGAACGAACCAAACACATTGACATTGATTATCATTTTGTTAGAGAAAAACTAGTTCAAGGCCCGATTGAAACTCAACATATCAGAACAACTGAGTTTCCAGCAGATCTGTTAACTAAGAGTCTACGCAAGCCACAACACGAATATCTACTAGACAAGCTGGGAATGAAAGGTGTATTTCATCCCTCAACTTGATGGGGAGTGTTGAGTATAGTGGGGCCCAACTATTTATTAGTTAAGGGTAATTAGTTGTAACTACATATAGTTAGTTAGTTAGTGGTATATTTTTATAAATATACTCCTAATAATTAGTTAGTGATACTGTACAACTATTCATTCTTCTTCTCGGCAACTAATAACAGAGCTTTTCTTCATTTCCTCTTCTTCTAGAACCTTCAATTGTGCCATGGTCGTAGCTTCCTAACAAACTAACTACAAAATTTTAGATATACTTTCCCCGCTAAAATGTGAAAAAATAGTCGGTAAAGAGAGAGATGTTGATGATTATTTTTTAACTTTTGACCGGAGAAATGTTGAGGACTGACATTGTTAGAAGCATATTGCAGAGATGGAAGCCTTCTAATCTTCTCTGATTTCCACTCTCTCCAATATATCTACTAATTTTCCTCCCCAATAATGAGAGAGAAATTTTAAAAATACAATAACAAAAATAAGAAAAATTAGAGTCTTTGAACATGGGTAAAATTATCTCCATATAATCTATATGTCACGTGTTTCTACTCGTGTGGAAACAACTATTAATACTTATATTTGGGTAGGCTATTAATATTATACCCGTCGATATGCGATTTTTCTTCGTACCCTACATGAATACGGAATAACTTGTGCACATAATTATTCTTTTGTAATAATAAAAAGAAAATAAGAGAAAAGAAAAAAGAGAAGAGAAGACCAGTGAGTACACAACTCTCTCATCTTTTCTTCTTATCATTAACT